TCACAGCTCACAGCAACCTCCAGCTCCTGGGCTCAAGGGATTCTCTTGCCTCCGCCTCCCAATTAGCTGGGACTATAGGCACCCGCCACAATCCCCCAGCTGTTTTTTGGTTGCAGCTGTCATTATTGTTTGGTGGGCCTGGGCTGGATTTAAACCTGCCAGCTCAGGTGTATGGGGCTGGTGCTTTAGCCGCTTGAGCCATAGGCGCCGAGCCTCAATTTTTATTTCTTACTTTCTATACAGATTTTCTATCTTCCCCAAGCTGGTCTCGAAATCTTGGCCTTAAGCAATCCTCCTACGTCAGCATCCCCAAAGTGCTGGGAATACAAATGTGAGAATGTGAGCCATGATAATGGCCAGCTAAGATGTTTTTAAAAAATATTTTATGCAGATAATGCAAGTTACAGTGATAGCATAAATCACAATGATGTATTTAATTTTAATTTAATTATTTTCATTTTTAAGAGCATGGGAAAAATATTTATTTTATTTTATTTTTTTGAGACAAAGCCTTACTCTGTCTCCCTGGGAAGAGTGCCTTGTTATCAACCTAGGCAGAGGCAGGTGGATCACCTGAGCTCAGGAGTTTAAGATCATCCTGAGTGGCTCAGTACCTGTGGCTCAAGTGGCTAAGGCGCCAGCCACATACACCTAAGGTAGCAGGTTCTAATCCAGCCCGGGCCCACCAAACAATGACGGCTGCAACCAAAAAATAGCTGGGCATTGTGGCAGGAGCCTGTGGTCCCAGCTACTTGGGAGGCTGGGAGGCGGAGGCAGGAGACTCGCTTGAGCCAGGAGTTGGAGGTTGCTATGAGCTGTGATGCTACGGCACTCTACCCAGGGGGACGGCTTGAGGCTCTGTTGCCAAAAAAAAAAAAAAAAAAGATCATCCTAAGAGAGAAAAAGACTCTGTTTCCACTAAATATAGAAAAACCTAGCCTGCCATTATGGAGATCACCTATAGTCCCAGAAACTTGGGAAGGTGAGGTAAGCAGATGGCTTGAGCCCAAAAGTTTGAGGTTGCTATGAGTTATGACACCATAGCATTCTAGCCTGGGCAACAGAATGAGACTTTGTCTCAAAAAAAATTAAAAAATAAAATAAAATAAATTATTTCCAATGAAAGTATAATATCTGCATTGAGGAATGCTATATGTATAAAATACACTAAAGTTCTGAAGCCTTAATATGGAACAAAAAAAAAAAAGGCAAATTAATTCTTTAACAATTTTATTATATTGGCTC